GTCTTAAAGGGTCATTATGTGGACAACATATTAACACAACTAGGTTTGATTGTAATGCATGTAAAATTAATCAGAGTAAGGATGCTATAGAGGTCCAGACTGGGACCCTCAAGCGGACAACTTGAGGGCACGAAACTGTCGAGCGCACCGTTGATCGGCTAGTTTTACCGCAAATACGCCTTTCCGAATTTAAAAGGGTGATATATAGGAAGAGCGCAAATACTCATCAAGCGTTGCTATATTATTGATTACGCACGAGTGGAATATGATATTGAGCATAATTTATGCAACAGTAAATAGCACGTTGTCAAGTATTTGCACGTAAAAATGATAAATATGGTACTTAAATAATTGAAAGACGGTTACAAAAAGAAAGCGAAGAGACAAATCAGTTTCAGGAAATAAAGAAAATCATAAGTAAGCAATTAAATCCAAATAAAGGGGAGGGTGCACGGGATAAAGAATGCCATTTTTCCTTCGCGGAGTCCGGGTTTCGACATTCATTGGGAACAACTCGTTTTCTTTTGGGAATTCGGTATTTGAAGAGTCGCCACCTAACGGACTAAGGTGAGTTAGGGTACCTAGAGCAATTAACACATGTAACCAGTTTTCATTACTAGAGATTAGGGTAAGGGCTCGAAATAACCTTGAGGGAAAGGTGTTAGGCATCCCCTGCAGTCCACAACGGTGGGTTCCGGCCAAACTTAATTATGTGAATTAGTCATTTAACAAGTAAGAGGTCTAAGCACGCATTTGCAAATAAAGTTAGTTTATGCAGTCTAAACATACATATAGAATCAAGAAAGTTTAGATGGTCTAAGCATACGAGAATTAAGGAAGTTTGAACAGTTCAAGCATACATACATAAACTAAGGAGGTTTAGGCAGTCTAATCACACATATGTGAATTAGGGAAGGGAGGTCCTAAGTTGATTAGCCTATAGGATCACATCTGTACAATACCCGATAAGCCTTCCTTAACTAAAGGGGTTACACATGGCATTAGCGCACAGGTCATCATATCCTTTTACTACCCATTACCCTCCCACTAGTGGTTATATAAACGAGTTTAGTTAACGAACTCTAAGCGTGTTTTACCCGTCCCTTCCTTATGGACCCGGAGGCATTTAGGACCTCTATACTTAGGCAGTTCTAGACACTCCTAAGGTATTTAAAAGGTAAAATCTAAGTGATAACAAAGAACACATATGACTGTCAAATACGGAAGCAATTAGGGGCTCATGTTTGCCTCCACACATAATCAGATACATAGCACGTCTCAAACAATTCATTTTTAAGAAATTTAGAAAGCCTTAGAACATGATATCTAGATGAACATCACAGATATAGAATATGCAGCATTTCGTATAAAAGCGAAGTGGCAGAACCCTAGTCAGCTTGCCTATTGATTTTATAGCCTATTAAACCTGGACAATTTCACACATAAACAGAACCTGATTTCACAGTTATAAGACCATTAATTACCTAAGGCTTGCCTAGGCGTGGGTCTGTATGCAATCATAATTCTGGGAATTGGTTAAGACAGCTTGAGGTCATTCAATCCTATAGGCACACTGAATTAGGTGATTAATATTACATAACTGATTTCATGCATGTTTTCACTAGAACATGATATCTATGTTTTGGACTATTCTTAAACCTTTTTATAGACAATTATTCATTCAAACAACGTAGAAATGGTTTAGAGCCAATGCAAATAGGGTCCTAAATTAGGATTTCTGATACACAGAGAGATGATCATTTTATTAAGCATGATTAAAGCAGTAGTTTAATAACATGATTTCCAGGTGATAATAACTTTATGCAGAGTCAGAGAAAGAAGTGATGAACTTATAACATGTTTCTAACATACAAAAATATAAACGTGAGTGTCCTAAGGCAGGTTTTCTAATGCAAATAATATAACCTTATGACATGTTTTGATGCAAGTAACATAGCAGATGGGCNAACCCTCCCTTCTTACTAATCACCCCAACATCTATTTACAAATAATATTATTACAGACCAGGATGAATTGAATTACATAAGTAAATAAAACTATACTATAGGGAGCCTAAATCAGGCCCAAAGCAAACCTGGGAATGCCAGGCCTTCAATAAAGTCTCAAAAGCCAAAGATCTCACAGCCAATAATGTATATCTTGGTGTGTCAGAGTTCCCTAAGGACATCAAGGATCCCGGGTAGTACTCACACCAAGACCCTTCTCAAATGAGGATTGGTTATGTGCAGTGTGGAAGTACCAACCCTGGTGTGACAAAGTTCAGAGGGATCGCAAGGATCCCTAAGCAGTACACACACCAGAGGGGCAGAACCTACTAGTCTAAGAGTAGGGTGAGAGTGCTTGATATAGTGTTGAAAGACTTAGTAAAATAGTTTAGAAGTGAAAAAATTCCGAAACGGTTTTTAAAGATACTGAGAGTGACTAGTTTTGAGAAGAATGCTAGGAGGAGGAGCAACAGTTTTGATCATAGAATACCCAAATTTACTTGACAAACAGACTTACAAACAGGGGATGAAGGGATTGGGAACATATAGGAAAACATTTGATACAACAAATGTATAGAACAGCTAAGAATCTACTGAACAAATCAGTCATGGTAACAAACAATTTAAACATAGGGAAAGAATGCAGCAGGATCATGTTGAAGATAAGAGTTTGTTGAACAAAATTTGGCATACAATTAGGACTAATTGAATACAATGGAAAACTAAGTGACTAATATAGTCACACCAATTAAAAAGAGGGGGTAAGGTAACTAAGTAAACATGCTGGACAAATATCAAAGAACTAAATGAAGTCGGACATGATGATTACACATAATGTAGGATTTAGACATACTTAAAAATAGCAAACAGAGAAACAAATAGAATAACTAGTACAGGAACAAACATATGTGTATAGACATGGAACACATAGAGTTGAGTTTCAAAATCTAACTAGAGATATACCAGTTAAACAAAAAAATGCAGAATGTGAAAAACAGTTGAAATTCCACTATCTAGCCTTGGCTTTTAGACAGCTAGACCCACAGTTAGCACAAGTAGCAAAGAGAGAAGAGAGAGTTTGAATGTATGTGTGTGTATTCTGAACTACTGTTCATGTGTTGACAGAGCAGAATGAGAGTAGTTATATAGTAGTTCAAGAGTAGAGCCAATAAGGTAAAAGAATCAGAAATCAGCAATTAAGGGCCATCAGAATCCAATCACATAAGGGGTTCAGAATAGACTCCTTAAATTAGGGGCAATTAGCCAAACGGTGATAATAGGGAGTCTAATTAAGGAAATAAGTTCAAATCAAACCAAAGAAAGGAGTTCGGAATAAAATAATCAGTGTTCTAATTAAGGGAAGAATCATGTAAATGAATCAGTAAATATACAGGTAATCAAATGAGGCAAGAGTGACTAATTAAGGTAGTAAACATGGAAACATGCAAGACTTAGGCATACAAATTTCTAAAATAGCAAATCAATCAGCCGAATTTCAAAGTAACAATGATTTTTGAAATAATAAATCAACTCCCATAAATAGAAAATAGACTAAGTAAAACTTCATAGAAACATAGAACTTAGTCAGGAAAAATTAGGTTCAAACCCTAACAGAAATTTATTAGGGCAAAACCACCAAAATATTGAATTTGACGAAGAAAAGCAAGCAAGTCAGAGGATACAGAGCAAACTAATACGATTAGTAACACGGAAAGACCCAAGTCGTAGCACGAATTCGAAAGATCAGTATATAACATAGAGTCAACTAGGGTTCGAGTACTCTTGCAAAAGATCAGTCAAAAAGATGAAAAATAAAATCGATTAAACATCCAGAAGTCAGAAAGCCTTTGAAAAACAACTTGTAATGAACCCTAGTTTTACGGAAAGCAAGAACAAGCGATTAAAACCAGAAATATTCGGAGAAACACATGTAATAGTGCTCGAATCGTCTCAGATCTGGAAATAATTGAAGGTAATAGACTAGGGTTTTGAAAACATAATAGAGATGAGAGAATAGGCTTAGAAACCATGGATTCGTAACAACATAAAGAGAAGTTCTCACTCACAGTCGATAAAATAGCCCTGAGACAGGCTAACAAGTAGAGCTTCAAACCAGAACCAACTAGGTTCTTCGAGATCCCCTCAAGGATCTAAGGAGTCGAAGAGCCATGGCGTGTAAGAGGCCAAGACTGGCCGGAGAAGACAAGAAAACATCACAGCGCTGAGATATACGCCGGTGATGGCGCCCAAGAAACTAGGGTTTAAGGGAGAGAGTTGAAAGAGAAAAGGAGATGAGGACGGCGTGTGAGGGAGTGAATGAGAGGTTTGGGGAGGGGGGTTCTAGGTTAATTAGGTAAGTTTTAATGTGGACCGTTGATCTAAAGGATCAACGGCCATGATTTGATGGAGGTTTGGGTCGGGTATGTGCAGATTGGGCTTAGGGTGAATTGGGCTGGTATTATTAAGGGGTTTGGGCTGGTATTAAAAGGGTTAGGTCCGAAAAATTAGAGAAATTAAAAAGGCTATTTATTAAATACCCAAATAATTGATAAAAAATAATTTTAAAAATAATTTTCAATAAGAAAAAAATAATTTTCATGCATAGAAATATTTAAAAATAGTTACTATATATTTAGAAAAACACAATGAGCTATTTTTTGTGAAAATAATGTAATAATGTACACATGGGCTATAATTGCAAAATTATTGCAATTGTAACCAAAAGGTATAAATCTGGTCATTTGTGAAATACCTTGAACCTAATATAACTATAAATAGCAATATTAAGTCATGAAATGCTATAAAGTCATTTGTGATGCAATTTGTAATTATTTATGTAGATAAAATACTAGGATAAAATTAATTTTAAAATATAGAAATTATGAAAAAATATCAATTGATGCATAGTTTTGAAGGTATATATGCACTTAAAAGCATTATAGGGAAAAATTGGGTATCAACATTGAGTTTTCTTGATCTTAGGAAGGAACTGTTATGTGCCAAAGGAAGTATGCTCTAGAACTAGTCTCTGAACTAGGGCTAGCAGGTGCAAAGCTAGCAGCAACACCTCTGAAGATCAATCACAAGCTCACATCCATTGAGTTTGACAAACAAATACCATTAACTGGACCTACAGTGGATAGAGAACTTAAAGACAAGGGAGGCTATGAGAGACTAGTTGGAAGGTTGTTAACCATGACAAGGCCTGACATTGCCTTTGTGGTTCAAGTGCTAAGTCAGTATATGCATGCACCTAAGGTATCTCATATAAAAGATGCTCAAAGAATAGTGAGGTACATAAAAACTGCCCCAGGACTTGGACTGTTTATGTCTGCAAAAGCAAGCAAATCTTTGTATGCATACTGTGATTCTAATTAATTAACCAATTAATTCAAAATTTAAAATTCAAGAAAAAATTAGTTAGAAAAGCAGTTTATTTTGCCTTAACAATGCCACTTGGATTTTATTGGTTACGACACTTACTTTAATGTAGTGCTTTTGCTNATGTTGTGTGTGTGTGTGTGTGTTCCTTGGTTATCTAATTGTATTATCCATTACTTAATATTGTTAAATTGATATGTGAGTTATTAATAAATTACTAATTTAGTAAAATAAATACTCCCATATATATACACACACACTACTACTACTATATTAGGAAGAAATTACTCTCCAATTTGAATTGATAGTTTTTTATTTTTTGTTATTTTTATTTTCTTGTTGTAAAATAATTTTAAAACTTCAATTTGAATGAGTAGAATATTTTTTTGTATTTTCATTTTTTATTTATAATTATAAGATATCTATATTTATTAATTCAAGAAGTATAACCAATTAATTCAAAATAAAAATTAGTTTGAAAAGTAGTTTATTTTGTCTTAATAATGCCACTTGGTTTTTTATGATTAAGACACTTATCTTAATGTAGTGCTTTTGCTTCTCCTATTCTATATAGATAGATTTTCGCTTTGTTGAGTGTGCTACTCAAGAGGACAAAAGTATGATTTCCTTAATTATTAAATATGCATGAAAACCGGTGCAAGAGAACCGTCCTAATCCCATTGTGCCAACAAAAGAGAATATTAATTTAAAAATATTTTTGAAAAAATGATTTCATCAATTAGTATTGTATAAATTGTCAACCAAATATGGTTGATCCAAATTTCATCTATACATAACTACTTTTTCAGAAAACTTCTTGACTTAAAAACTGGTGAATTTTTCTCAAACCAACACTCGAGAAGGTTAACTGACAATAGAATTTTAGAATTTAGAGCATAAGCATATGCTTCCTCACCCAACATCTCACCAAATCCTTGTAATCCTTCAAGAACTCTCCCTATATATACCTTTTGGTACTAATAATCAAACTCAAATCAACTCAAAACACAACTTAACTTCCTTTGAACACAAAACTTCAATCTTAAGCAAAATTAACAATGGCTGCTTCCAGCAATTGCTCAATCCTTTTCTTGATCATAGCATTATTGTCCTTATCAAGCATCAGCACAAGTAATGCTGCTCGAAGTCTAATGCAACTCCCTAACTTGCCTACAATCCCCTCATTACCTCAGCCAACAATGCCACAGTTGCCTAAAATTCCAAACATGCCAACTGCAGCTACATTGCCACCATTGCCAACACTTCCAACAACAACACCATTGCCTTCTTTGCCTACTTTGCCCTCTGTTCCGAAGATGACTCTGCCTCCAATGCCTACCATGAATCCTATTCCCAATATGCCTTCACTTCCTACCATTCCTACAATTCCAACCATTCCTACGCTTGCAACTCCTCCATCCAACTGATCATCTTGCGGTTTCTAATATTTTACCTGTTTAATCCTATATGGTGTCTACCATTTGATGTTCTTTTTTCCTTTTTCCTTTTGTCATTTTAATCTTTTGAGTGATTCTTAACGCTTAACGATATGTATCGTACTATCATTTATACTCTCCGAGTGTTATACATTCATTGCAGAGTAACCTTTGTATTAATCCCATACAGTTATCTATTATTGATTTGTGTTCAGTTCTCGAATCTCCAGTATATGTGAAGATAATTGAACTCCCGCAAAAAGCTATACTTTGACTCTACATTTTTAGTAAAACAGTGGTCATACCAATAATGCACTTTTGAGTTACACTCAGAAAGACATATAAAACAAAATAAAACACTGCTAAATATTCCTGTAACAGAGACAACCGGACAGGCAGTGCACTACTTCAATATCAGCCTGAATAAATTTACTACAACAACAATCCAGTGAAATCCTACAAGCGGGGTTTGGGGAAGGTAGTTTGTACGCAGACCTTACCCTATCCCGGAGGAGTAGAGAGGTTGTTTCCGATAGACCCTCGGCTCAAGAAGATAAAAAGAGACAATAAATGAAAAAACAATAACAAAAACCATTAATAATGGCGTGGTACTATGAAAACCGAAAAATAGCCTGAATAAATTTAGAAATCATAAATTCTGATGCAATGGACAATTGTTTATGACTATTAATGAGCGACACATGTATAAATAGAACTCTATGTATGTACATGAAAATATACCAATTACCATAGCAACAAATCAATGCAAATTATCTTCATTTCAATCAAATACTTGGAATCTTTTCTTAACACTACATTCATTTATTTTCTTACAGCGTATGTGATTGTTGTTGTAAGGATGCTTTCAAGAAGTAAGCCGTTCTTGTTCAACATTTTGGAATGTACTATGCTAGAAATTCCAAATAAGACCATGACCAGTATAAAAGTAATTAATCAGCTGTAACTCTGTGTCACGACCCGAATTTCACACCCTCTGGAGTCGTGATTGTATGGGTCAAAATTAGATAAGAGAAATTCGGCACGCAGAGATATAAGGTCGAGGTCGGACAGTCCGAGATCGGATAGTCATCAATAAGGCCGAGGTCGGACATTAATCAATAGCCGAGGTCGGACAGTGATGAAATAACTAGTTTGTTTTCGAATCCTCAACCTCTAATTGTACTTTTTTATGATTTTCTATGGATATCTCTTATAAAAAAGAAGAGAGGACTTCCAAAATGGGAGCTCTCTTTCTCCCTCTCCCTCTCTCTGAAAAATATGTAAACACGCCTCTCTGGAGGATCTATGAGCCCATAACTTCCTCAGATCCAAAAAGGGTCCTAAGGTTCTTGTATTTGTCAGTCATTCATCTTTATCAAATGAAAGAGAATCTGTCCCACTCAAGATAGGGTGAACCCTTTCCTTTATCTACATTTTATTGACGTTTAATGTGACTTAATGCATCTTTCTTTATGCTATTAAATATTGTCATAATCACCGCCAACATTTATACTCAGCTATGTTTTCTTCTATTCAGATCATTCATCTCGGATCTAGAGTTAATTATCCTTAACTAGGATTTACCCTCCATCTTCTTTGATTGATTTGTTCAAAAAAGTTTTGATAACTTTTGAGCCAAACAGTGACGGCGCCTACTAGTGAAAGCTAGGCAAGCCAACCATTTGAATTATTTACCTTTTTTCCATTTTTAATCCTTAAACAATTAAGAGTCAAACATTATATAAATAGTGAAAATTAAAAGCGGAAGACTGAAACGTGATATATTAATAAAGATGTCAATACCAATCCATACGTAAACTACCCAAGACTGATGTCACAATTTCAAAGACTGTCTAGGAATACTACGAATAAAGGTCTGAAAGAGTTATTACAACACTGTCTCTAAAATACATAAAAGAAACAGAGTAAAAGGATAGAAGGAGACGTCAAGGCCTGCGGACGCCTGCAGGACTACCTCAGATCTTCGAATGGACTGAAGGCAGCAACCCAAAGCTATGATTCGTATGCTCCAGTACCAGGATATGTACACAGTGCAGAGTGTAGTATCAGCACAACCAATCACATGTGCTGGTAAGTGCCTAGCCTAACCTCGGCGAAGTAGTGACGAGGCTAGGACCAGACTACCAAATAAACCTTTGCAGTTAAATCATATACAGCTGAAAATAAAAGCAGGAATGTACAGTTAAGGATGAGAGGGGGAAACATGCTGTGGGGAAACATCAAATAATAACAGAAGAACAACATGTAAACATAAGGAACACCATAACTCAATTATCAACAAGAATCAGAAATCAAACAAGTGCACGACATCACCCTTCGTGCTTTTACTCTCGTCCTCACCATAAAATTAATGTAATCGACACGGAATTGTACATCGTGCGGCACGTCATCACCCTTTGTACTTTAACACTCTCTCACCAAAACAATGCACGGCATCACCCTTCGTGCTTTAACACTTTTCCTCACCCAAACAACAATCACAAAGCAATAAGGGCGAAACCAACAAATTTACAATTAAATCCCGGCAAGGGTACAATAGTACAACAGTCATATCCCGGCAAGGGAAAACAATATCAAAAATAACATCCCGGCAAGAGAAACAACATTAAGTAACAACATTCTGGCAAGGGAGACAATATCAAAATTCTCTTTTCTTTTTCACATTTACTTCACAACTCAATTCACAATTTGACCAATGCTATATAAGTTCAATTGCCAATTATACTTCCAAAAATCACTTTACAACTTGAGTCAACGCTCTTCAATGTTCAATTATAAATATCATTATTACAAGCCTTTCTCAATAATAGAAATCATCACATAAAGCATGAATAATACAAACGGAGTCACATTAATCATAATATAAGACTCACGGGCATGCTTGACACCAACATATAGATACTCGTCACCATGCCTATACTCGTACTCAACAACTAGCACATAGCAAATAGGACACAACTCCTAATCCCTCAAGCTAAGGTTAGACCAAACACTTACCTCGATACCACGAACACAATTCAAGCCTCAACTATCGCTTTACCTCTTGTTTCCACCACCAATTCGTTTGTATCTAGCCATAAGTTACTTAACTATATCAATAAATTCTAAATGAATCCAATCCAATGCATAAAAATAAGTTTTTAAAAAAAAATCCCAAAAAGTCAAAAATCGACCCCGGGCCCACATGGTCAAAACCCGAGGTTCGAACCAAAACCCGATTATCCATTCCCCCACGAACCCAAATATATAATTTGTTTTGAAATCGGACCTCAAATCGAGGTCCAAATCTCCAAAATTTGAAAAACATAGGTTCTACCCAAAACACCTAATTTTCCCCATGAAAGCCCTTGATTTTGAGTTAAAATCATGTTAAAAGATGTTAAAGATTGAAGAAAACGAGATAGAAATGACTTACAAACGATCTGGAGAAAAAGTTTTCTTTAAAAAATCGCTCAAAAGAGTTTATGTTTTGAAAGAGTTTGAAAAATGAAAGATTTTCGGCTAAGTCATGAATTTGCAAGTCGCAGATGTCGCAATTGCGACCAGGGTTCGCAATTGCGAACCCTTCAGAACCTGCTAATCTCGCATTTGCGAACATGGGTTCACATTTGTGAACCCTGAGGATTCCATCCCTCTTCGCATTTGCGATGCTGCTATTGCATTTGCGACCAAGGCAGCCCAGGCCATAGTTTGCATTTGCGACACATTGTTCAAATTTGGGAGCTCGTATTTGCGAACCAGGCTTCGCAATTGCAAGCCTGCAACACACCAACAAATTTCCTAAGTCCAAATCAACTCCATGCCCTATCCAAAACTCACCCGAGCCTTTAGGGCTCTAAACCAAACATGCACATTAACCTAAAAACATCATATGGACTTGTTCGTGTAATCAAATCATCAAAATAATATCAACAACTATGAATTTAGCATCAAAATCAAAGAAAATCTCAATAACTTTCAAAGTTTCAGATTTTACAACTAAGGCTCCGAATCACGTCATTTCAAGTCCGTTTCTTATCAAATTTTACAGGCTCAACTTAAATAACATATAAGACCTGTACTGGGCTCCGAAACCAAAATACGGGCCCGATACCATTAAATCCAAACATATTTCATTTCCAAAAACTCATATATATTCAAGAAAATAATTTTCTTCAAAAATTTATTTCTCGGACTTGGGACCTCGGAATTCGAAGGCATTCGCCCAAATCCCATATTTTCCTACGACCCTCCGGGACCGTCAAATCACGAGTTCGGGTCTGTTTACCCAAAATATTGACTGAAGTCAACTTAAATTCATTTTAAATGTAAAATTCATCATTTTCATTGATTTTCACATAATAGCTTTTTGGATACGCGCTCGGACTGCGCACGCAAATCAAGGTGGGACATAAGGAGGTTTTTAAAGCCTCGGTACACAGAATTTATTTCTAAAATAAATGATGACATTTTGGGTTATCACACTGTGCCTCTACATATTATATTGAAAAGCAGTTTATTTGCATTAGTTTGCAATTCCTCCAAAATGAAGTTTGAATCTATTGATTTTCTAATCTAATAATCTATCCATGTGAAAAAAGAATATGCATAGCCCTGCGAGCTTGCGTACATTGCATGTCCCAGGTCAGAATAAAGGAAGAGGATTATGATAGACTAAGTGACAGCCAGAGGCGGATTTAGGGAGCGGAAGGGGTTACCTGAACCCTCAAAAAATAAGATAAATCTATTTTTTACCTCTATATATTATATTTTGAATTTCCTTGACATATGCCAAAAGCATAGCTTAGTGATCGGGGGGTCAAAACATTTATGAGGACACTGGTTCAATTTCCACTAGCTATGATCTTTTTAAATTTTTTAACTTTTTTTCTTTTTTGAATCCCCTTAGCGGAAATCCTGCCTCCACCACTACTAACAACGTAAAACTAGTCAATTCGTAGTGACTCCTCCTAATACAGATATAGTTGAGACGTACTCAAATTTGTACTAATTGTTGTCAATAAATAGGAGTAAATCACCCCCTAAACTTGGTTCCCCTTGTTTAAAGAAAGGAATTAAATTGAGGAGATCACAGGAGCAGGATACGAATATCGAGCAGATGTTCAAATGTAATATATCTAAATTCATTAATTTTCATCATAATAATAATTTTTAAGAGATGGCTAGTTCAAGTTATGTTAAATAATAAAGTTTGATTTTGGAAAAACAACATCATTATGGGAATAGGCAATAGAATAAATATGTCGATGCATTAAAATATAATATGCTACAAGTGAATATTTGAGACGAGAAATAAATCCTAATTTTTACTTCTTCATAATAGGTAAAGAACACAGAGAAAATCTTAATCTAGTAGGAAGAATACTAAAGAGTTTAGTATTACTAGTTTTAACTTCCTAACAAGCATATTAATACTTCCAAGTTCAACATTACACGTGGAAAAGTGTTAGACTTCACAATATTGTTGAGCTGATTAGTCATTTGACCATCATTAGGCAAGCAAACATTTCCATAGTGCCAACCAATATATAAGTATTAGTTTAAACTTATAAATAAATGATTTCGTCAATTAGTATTGTATAAATTGTCAACGAAATATGGTTGATCCAAATTTCATCTATACATAACTAATTTTTCAGAAAACTTCTTGACTTGAAAGCTGGTGCATTTTTCTCAAACAAACATTTGAGAAGGTTAACTAACAATAGAATTTTAGAATTTAGAGCATATCCAACATCTCACCAAATCCTCATAGACCCTCAAGAACTTTCCCTATATATACCCTTTAGAGATGATCAAACAAAACACAGCTGAATTTGCTTGGAACACAAAGCAATCTAGCAAATTAAACTAAGTCAAAACACATACTCCTATTGGCAATGGCTTCCTCCAGCAACTACTCAATCCTTTTCTTGATCATAACATTACTGTCCTTATCAAGCATCACTACAAGCAATGCTGCTCGCGGCCTACTTCAACTTCCCAACTTGCCTACAATCCCTTCATTGCCTCAGCCAACAATGCCACAATTGCCTAAAATTCCAAATTTGCCAACAGCAGCCACATTGCCACCATTGCCAAGTATTCCATCTTTGCCAACCCTTCCAACTGCTACACCTAATTTACCGTCTTTGCCTACATTGCCCTCTGTCGTCCCAAAGATGACTCTGCCACCAATGCCTGCCAATATTCCTCTTCCCAAAATGCCCTCACTTCCTACCATTTCTACACTTTCACCCCCTCCATCCAACTGATCATCTTGCGGCTTCTAATATTTTATTACCTGTCTTTTTTTATGGTCTCTGCCGTTTATTTTTATTTTTTTCCTTTTTTTCTGTTGTTGTTTTTATCTTTTGAGTGATTCTTAACGATATGTATTGTATCATTTATACTCTTTGAGTGTTATTCAATGATTTTGCAGTAGCAAGATTTTGTATCAACGTCATGCAGTTGTCTATTATTGATGTGCATGTATTTCTCCAGTATATGTGAAGGTAATTAAACTCCGCAAAAATACTATAATTTGACAAGCTAGGTCATTTTTAGTAGAACAGTAGCGTACAAATAATCCACATTTGAAGATTTAGGCAATAATACACGATTTAACATGACTTAAAAAGTTACACTCAGAAAGAGATACAGCAACAACAACAATCACACAGGATAATTCCACTAGTGGGATCTAAGGAGAATAGTGTGTACATAGTCCTTACCCCTACCTTGGGTAAAAAGGCTGTTTCCGATAGACCCCCGAACTAGCAGTACACTACTTCAACATCAGCTACATAAATCCTGATTAAATTTAGAAATCTTGAATTGTGATGCAATGGATAATGGTTGATGCCTAATAACGAGCAACATTATTATAGTATGCGAACAAAGTCTCACATTAGTAGCTGAAAAGAAAAAGAAGCTACATATAAATATATACGGATACTCTCTAATAATGCGAGGTCTTTTGAGGAAAACCATGCGAGTTTGTAAAGCGGACAAATATTGTAAAGAGTATCATCGGGATGGTCTGGCTTAATAACAGGCACGTATACAAAAAGAATTCTTTGTATCATTGTATATAGATAAAAATCAGCCAATTATCGCAGCAGCAAATCAATATTATCTGCACTTCAATCAAATACTCGGAATCTTTTCCCATACTACATCCTTTTGCTAACTTTCTTACAGGTATAATTTCGTCATTATTTGGTCACAAAGTTTCTGCACGTGATTGTTGTTATTAGGAAGATTTAAAGAAGAAAGTTTCTATGCTACAAAGTCCAAATAATCAGTAATTCTGCCTCTACATATTATATTAAAAAGCAGTATGTTTTCTCGTGCATTAGTTTACAATCCTCAAAAATGAAGTTTGAGGGATCATTATATACTGATTTTATAATTGGTCCATGTGTATTAATAAAGAACATGCATAACCCTATGAGCTTGCTCATATTGCATGTCCCGATAAAAGAGGACTGTGATAGGTTGATAGTGAATATAAAATCGGTATGAATTGAATAGTGCTTATGAGTTTAATATTACTAGTTTTAACTTCCTAACAAGCATGTAATTTCTTCGAAAATCAACATATACACATGGAAATATTGTTGAGCAGATTATTTATTTAACCATCTTAGGTAGTTGAACAAAATCGGAAGGATCAATAGACAAACTCATGTCCAGTAGGAGAACTAATTAATAGCAACAAAAAAAGACAACAACAATAAACAATTGTTAGCAATTCATTCTGCTGTCTTCTTCATTTTTTAATAATTATTTTCGATTTGTTGAGCGTGCTACTCAAGAGGACAAAACTATGATTTCCTTAATTGTTAAACATGCATGAACACCGGTGCAAGAGAACCGTCCTAATCACATTGTGCCAACAAAAGAGAATATTAACTTAAAAATATTTTTGAAAAAATGATTTCATCAATTAGTATTGTATCAATTGTTCACCAAATATGGTTGATCCAAATTTCTATCTATCCATAACAACTCTCATAAAACTTCTTGATGACTTAAAAATTGGTGAAATTTTCTCAAACCAGCACTCGAGGAGGTTAACTAATTAACAATAGAATTTTAGAATTTAGAGCATAAGCATATGCTTCCTCACCCAACATCTCACCAAATCCTTGTAATCCCTCACGAACTCTCCCTATATATGCCCTTTGCTACTAATGATCAAACTCATCTTAAATCAAAACTCAACTTAACTTCCTTGGAAAACAAAGCATCAATCTAGAGCAAATTAACAATGGCTTCTTCTAGCAACTGCTCAATCCTTTTATTGATCATAGCATTATTGTCCTTATCAAGTATCACTACAAGCCATGCTGCTCGAAACCTACTGCAACTTCCAAACTTGCCAACAATCCCGTCATTACCTCAGCCAACAATTCCAAAATTGCCCACTATTCCCAACTTTCCAACAGCATCCACATTGCCACCATTGCCAGCACTTCCAACAGCAACACCATTGCCTTCTTTGCCTACTTTGCCCTCTGTTCCGAAGATGAATCTGCCACCAATGCCTGCTATGAATCCTCTTCCCAACATGCCCTCACTTCCGACCATTCCCACCATTCCTACATTTTCACCTCCTCCATCCAACTGATCATCTTGCGGATTCTAGTATTTTACCTGTTTTATCTTTTATGGTGTCTACCATTTGATGTTCTTTTTCCTTTTTCCTTTTGTCGTTTCAATCTTTTAGAGTGATTCTTAACAATATGTATCGTATTATTTATACTCTGAGCGTTATACATTCATTGCAGAGTAACCTTTGTATTAATGCCATGCAGTTATCTATTATTGATTTATGTTTAGTTCTCGAATCTCCTGTATATGTGAAGACAATTAAACTCCGCACCAAAATTGAACTTTGACGAGGTCATCTTTAGTAGAACAGTGGCCATACCAATAATGCACTTTTGAAGTTACACTCAGAAACAGAAAGAGACATAATACAAAATAAAACACTTCTAAATCCTGTAACAGAAACACCCGGACAGGCAGTGCACTGCTTCAATATCAGCCTGAATAAATTTACAACAACAACAACTCAGAAAAATCTCACAAATGGAGTTTGGGGAGGGTAGTGTGTACGCAGACCTTATCCCTACCCCGGAGGAGAAGAGAAGCTATTTCCGATAGACCCTCAGCTCAAGAACACGAAAAGGGACAAATAGATCAGTAACAGCAACAAAAGCCACACAGATAATACTAGCATCGTTAGAACCAGAAAATAGATGAAAAAGCAATAATAAAAACCAGTAATAATGGCACGGTACTATCAAAAAGGAAAAATAGTTTGAATAAATTTAGAAATCATAAATTCTGAAGCAATGGAGAATGGTTTATGACTATTAATGAGCGACAAGTATATAAATAGATGTGATGACCCGATAGGTCATCTTATATTTTAGAACCAAATTCTACGCTCCGAAGCCTTAAAAGTCTCATTTTTACCCTCTTCGATTTGCGTGCGTACTCCGCACGTGTTTCCGGGAAACTTTTATGTTAAAACTGTGAAAAATATGAAATTTTGCTTTGAAAATCATTTGAGTTGACTTTGATCAACGTTTTAAGTAAACGGACCCGGATTCGTATTTTGACAGTCCCCGTGGATCGGTATCGTAATTTGGGACTTGAGCGTATTCCCGAAATCGAATTCGGAAGTCCCTAGCCCGAGATATCGGACTTTGTGGAAATTTGAAAGCTAAAAGCTTAATGAATTTGAAAAATTTGACCTATAGTTGACTTTTTGGATATCGGGTCCGTATTTTGGTTCCGAAATCCGATATAGGTCCAATACCATATTTATGACTTGTTTGTCAAATGTGGTGAAAAATGGAGTTGGTTTGACGTGATTCGGACGTCCGTTGTGAAAATAAAAGTTTCAAAGTTTTCTAGAAAATTTCATTTGATTTGGTATTCAATTCGTAGTTCTAGGTGTTATTTTGGCGATTTGATTGCGCGAGCAAATTCGTATGATATTTTTAGACTTGTGTGCATAGTTGTTTTAGAGCCTCAATGGCTCGGGTGAATTTCGGATAGGCTACGGAGTGAATTGGACTTAGAACATTTGCTGGTGTCTATAATTTCTGGGAACTGGCCTTTGATCTCTCATTTGCGAACATTCCCAACTTCTGTTAGTCTCGCATTTGCGAGCCATTTCTTCGCATTTGTGACAAGTGCCTGGGTCAGCCTACGTTCGCATTTGCGATCATGAGGTCGCATTTGCAGAAGATCAGTGTCCGCATTTGCGAGCAAAGCTTCGCTTTTGCGACGGGAGCTGGGGAGGGAGATTCTTCGCAATTGCGATCATTGGGTTGCATTTGCGGTCTAGTTAGTGTTCGCATTTGCGAACTTTTCATCATAAATGCGATGATTGTAGAGATGTGGGAGTCTTTGCAAATGCGATGGATTTCTCGCATTTGCGAAGCGCCCAGATCGCAAATATGACATCTGCAGCTGAACAAAATATGATTTAGACGGGATTTTTTGTTCATTCTTCAAATTTTCAAACTCAAGAACCCTGGAGGTGATTTTCCAAAGAATTTTTCTTCCCCAAATCATTGGTAAATGATTCTAAACTAGTTTCTTTTAATCTTTCACTACTTTTTCTAAGATTTCAACCTAAAATCTAGAGTTTTCATGGTGGAAATTAGGATTTTTTTGGTAAAAATTAGGGATTTGGTAAATTGGGAATTTAGGCCTCAAATTGAGGTCGGATTCCAAAATAAATTACATAACCGGACTCGGGGGTGAATGGGTAATCTAGTCTTGGTCCAAATTTCGAGTTTGGACCAAGCGGGCCCGGGTGTTAACTTTTGTTGACTTTTTCAATAATGACCTAAATTGAATTCTTTACAATTGTGGGTAGTTCCTAAGGCTTATTTTGAATCGTTTAGTTGGTAATTTGCTAGATATTGTTGGTTAGGAGGCTTGTTTGAAAAGCAAAGCTGTGGTTGAGATTTGAGTGGTCTTTGGAGTAAGGTAAGTATTGTGTCTAACTTTGACTTGAGGGAATTAGGAACCCTCGGACTATGTGCTATGTGAATTTCATGTGAGCAGCGTATCTGCGAGGTGACGAGTGCTTATACGCCACCGAATTATCTGTTTTCCCTGAATTTCCACTTTTCCTTAATTATTTTCTTTCATGTCTTAACTGTTATATGCTCTAAATGATTTCTATGCTTAACTACTACTTGTTAGTCAATATCTTCTCCTGTTAAAGATGTTAGTTCTTCCATAGTTTCATGATTCCCTGCTATTGCTAAATTGACTTACTTGCACCTTCTAATTGTCAATTGCCGGATTGGTCTCACTATGTAGTATTACCCGTATAGATTTCTTTATTGTACAAGTTTCTTTTTGTCCAGTTTGGTATTTATTGATTGTAAAGGCTTTGTGGTTTAACTATTGATTTGGTTGTGCTTTGAGTATTTGGTACTGATATGGTGGGATCGGGCTGCATGCCACAACAGGTGTAATAAGGGTGGATTGATATGGTGGAATAAGGGTGAATATGTTCTATGCGGTGGGATCGGATTGCATGCCGCAATAGGTGGAATAAGAGTGGATTGACATAGCGAAATAAGGGTGAACTATGACTCTCATAATGACATATGATGGGATCGGGTTGCGCGGCGCAACATATGCATATATATTATTATCTATGTTGTTGATGCTATTACGATGAAATAAGGGAGGATTCTGTGTTGTCTGGTGTGATCGGGTTGCCCGCCGCAACAACCTATATGTTTCCATTTCCTGAGTTGCGTTGGTTTCCGGTTTTGAACTGTTAAGGATTGGTAAATTCTGGATGACAACGGTTTATTCTAGAGGTTGTGGTTATTATTCTCAGTTGATTGTTTAATTTTGTTCAGTATTTCTATTTCTCTGTCATTATTATATACTGCGTGCAGGTTGTAGTGTAAGTGACTCGCCTTAGCCTCGTCACTACTTCATCGAGGTTAGGCTTGACACTTACCAGTACATGGGGTCGGTTATACTGATACTACACTCTGCACATCTGTGCAGATTTTGGAGTTGGTCCCAGCAGCGGCTACTAGAGAGCTCGGATCGGACAGTTGCGGCTGCTCAGCGCCCGCAACCCCTGGAGTCTCCTTTCCCTTTCTATTTAGCTATGTATTTTCATTCAGACAGCTTTGTATTTATTTCAGACCCTTGTATGTACTATTTTAGTAGCTCGTGCACTCTTGACACCAGGTTCAGGGATTTTGTAGTAGATGTTTGACAGTTTTTGCTTCCGCATTCAGATTTCAGTTATTTCAGTATTTATCATTATTCAATTAAACTGTTACAAATGGACAATATGTTCTAATGTTGGCTTGCCTAACAAGTGGTAGGCGCCATCACGATTTCGACGGCGAAAATTTCGGATCGTGGCAACAGAACTCTCTGTATATACAGTACATGAAATCAGCCAATTACCATAGCAACAAATCAAAGCAAATTATCTTCATTTCAATCAAGTACTTGGAATCTTTTCTTACACTGCATTTATTTACTAACTTTCTTACAGCGTATGTGATTGTTGTTATAAGGATGCTTTCAAGAATTAAGTCGTTCTTGTTCCACATTTTTGGAATGTACTATGCCAGAAATTCCAAATAAGACCATGACCAGTATAAAACTAATTAATCAGCCCTAACTCTGCCTCTTTATATTATTTTGAAAACAGTATATCTGTATTAAGGCCATGTGTGTTCATAAAAAAAAATTCAAAATATTTTTTTAAAAATGTGTTTGTCCATGAAATTTTGTAAGTTTTTGAAAAAAAAAATCGAAAATGAGTTTTTCAATCAAAATTTTCAGGAAAAACTTTTTCCCCACTCACAAAACTGCAACATTTTTTTAGTGAAATGCATGTTCAAACATAATTTTAAATTCTAAATATAATTTTTTTAATTTAACTCCAAATACTTTTTTTTTTTCAAAAATTACATTTTTTTTTATGTCCAAACGCCTACTTAGTTTATATTCCTCAAAAATGAAGTTTGAATGATCAGTACGTATTGATTTTGTAATCTAACGATCGGTCCATGTGAAAAAAGAAGATGCATACCCCTATGAGCTTGCTTATACTGCCTGTTCCGAGTCAAAATAAAGGAAAAGGATATGATAAATTGATTGTCAAGCTAGTCAATTCGTAGTGACTCCTCCTAATACAGATATCGTTGAGACGTACTCAAACTTGTACTAATTGTTGTCAATAAATAGGAGTAAATAACCCCCTAAAATTGGTTCCCTTAGATTGTTTAAGGAATTAAAATGAGGAGATTACAGGAGCAGGATATCTATATTGAGAAAATGTTCAAATGTGATATATCTGCATACATTAATTTTCATAATAACACCTTCTAAGGGACGGCTAGTTCAAGATGTTGAACAACGAAGTTTGATTTTGAAAAAACACCATCATTATGCGATGTATACGCAGTAGAAAAAGTATGTCAATCCATTGAAATATGATATGCTACAAGTAAATATTTGCGACAAGAAATGAACCGTAATTTTTACTTCTTCCTAATAAGCAAAGAACACAGAGATTTGCTTAATCTAGCAGGAAGAGTACCTATCATGAGTTTAATATTACTTAACAAGCACATTAATTCTTCTAAGGTCAACATTACACATGGAAAAGTTTTAAACTTCACAATATTGTTGAGCTGATTAGTCATTTGACCATCATTAGGCAAGCAAACATTTCCATAGTGCCAACCAATATAGAAGTATTAGTTTAAAATTATAAATAAATGATTTCATCAATTAGTATTGTATAAATTGTCAACCAAATATGGATAATCCAAATTTCATCTATACATAACTACTTTTTCAGAAAATTAACTTCTTGACTTGAAAGGTGGTGAATTTTTCTCGAACCAACATTAGAGAAGGTTAACTAACAATAAAATTTTAGAATTTAGAGCATATGCAACATCTCACCAAATCCTCATAGACCCTCAAGAACTTTCCCTATATATACCCTTTAGAGATGATCAAACAAAACACAACTGAATTTGCTTGGAACACAAAGCAATCTAGCAAATTAAACTAAGTCAAAACACATACTCCTATTGACAATGGCTTCCTCCAGCAACTACTCAATCCTTTTCTTGATCATAGCATTACTGTCCTTATCAAGCATCACTACAACACATGCTGCTCGCAGCCTACTTCAACTTCCAAACTTGCCTACAATTCCTTCATTGCCTCAGCCAACAATGCCACAATTGCCTAAAATTCCAAATTTGCCAACAGCAGCCACATTTCCACCATTGCCAACTCTTCCAACAGCTATACCTAATTTACCATCTTTGCCTTCTGTCGTCCCGAAGATGACTCTGCCACCAATGCCTGCCAATATTCCTCTTCCCAAAATGCCGTCACTTCCTACCATTCCTACACTTGCAACTCCCCCATCCAACTGATCTTGCGGCTTCCACCATTTTCCTGTCTTGCCCTATGTTCTCTGCCGTTTACTTTTATTTTATTTTTCCTTTTTCTCTATTGCTGTTTTTATCTTTTGAGTGATTCTTAACGATATGTATCGTATCATTTATACTCTCTTGAGTGTTATACATTGATTATGCAGTAGCCTTTGTGTTAATTAATGCCATCCAGTTGTCTATTACTATTGATTTATTGATTTCTTGAATTTCTTGCAACTTTTCTTAGACATCTTATTAGACTAATCTTTGCTATAATTGATCATATTCACTCACAAAGTGTCAACTTGTGATTGCTGTTAGTAGGACGCTTTAGAAGTAAGCCGATCTTGTTCAACATTTTTGGGATGTATCTATATATATGCTAGAAAGTTCAAATAAGGCCATGGTGACAAATAAGAAACAAACCAGCTCAATTCCGCCTCTACCAATCATATGAAAAGCAGTATATTTCCACGTGCAGTAGTTTACATTCTTAACTCAAAAAATGAAGATTGAATGATCATTATTGATTTTGTAATTAATATAACGATAGCTTAGGTTCATGTGAAAAAGGACTATTTATAGATGTTTATCCGTAAAATGGTACAGTTGAATTTATATGTGGTTTATAGATAAGTGAATTAATTTGATCATGAAATAATAGATGAACTAGATAAAAATGTAATACTTAGCTTTGAGATGGAATAATAACAGAAATAGTAATTCCGAGAGCAGGGCTTCCGGACAGAATAGCAATGATATCAGTAAACAAGAAGATAAAATTATATTAAACTTTAAATACATTGTAGTGTATGTTTGCCAGAAAATTCGTATCCTTTACAATAATAATAGAGCTTACTATTTATAGTTGTACCTAGGGAGCAAGGTCCTAGGATCAAGCCTCTCTTTAATGTCAATTATGAGAGTCATTGAATAATGCGTAATGACAGGCAGTGAATGTCATATTCCTTGTAACAGGTTGTATACTTAATGTTGTAGAATATTCCTCGGTAAATACTACCGGGTGGCAAGCATTTACTTCATCTTTATGAGTATATATTGTTCTCTCTAGTAACAGACGGGATCGTTGCCTTCGGATTAAACTATCTTCTGTCCTCAGCTCCACGTGTCACTTCCTCATTCGATCATTTAATATAAACATATTGTACCCTATACAGATAGTCCCCCGGTTTTCCAGTGGCATAACTTTGTATCACCGAAAAGTTGGTAGAAACATCCTCTTTGGCGGAAAATTCACTGACCCCCTCTGAAAAGTTTCTGACAATTGATTAGGCGCACGTTTCTCCGCATTTAATACCCTGAAAATACGTCATCTCACGATTTAGCATCACTTTTGCCGGTTATCGAGGTAATTATGGTAACAAGTTTAGCCACTTATACCTTTACTTATATGCATCAACCTCCTTCATTTACACTTCATAATACTCTATATTTTCTCAAACTTTCTTTACTTAACTCATACTTCGTCCTTAACCTTTTTTTAACTTTCTTCTTTTGAGAGAAAACCTTCATTCTGATAAAAAATGGCATCTTCTTCCAGAAACCCTAGTTCTTCAAAGAACAAAGGTAAAGTTGATGATGCTCCTCCCCCTATGGTGAGTCCCATCATCCTAAAGAATCTAGTTACTACCAAAGATTTTAAAGAGAAGTATCCTTCTGCTCACCCTCATACGTTAGTTGTTAGCATATACTCCTCTTCCATTCATCCTTCCAGTATCCCTGTTGTGAAGGAAGACTGCCACTATCAAGATTTGGACATTATCGTTCCCAACCTGGCGGAGCAGATAACCTTACCCAAGAAGGGTTTTATGTACTTTTTCACGTATCTTTACTTTGGGAGCATTTTCTTTAAGTGGAGAGCTTGACTCCGTCATCATGGAGTTCTGCCTCCGCTACCAAGTATTCTTGGCACAAATAAGTCCTTCCGTCTGGAGGAAAATCGTTTGTCTTCGGCGCCTGTGCCAGGAGACGGGAGAAGAGTTATCCCTAGCTCAAGCTCTGAACCTCTATTCCCCCAAGATCTTCTGCGGGGGAATGATAAATTTCAGTAAGCATGGTCACCATTCTCTGCTATCCAGCATTGATGATGACAACGACCGTAGGTGGATGGAATGGTTCATTTCAGTCATCACCAGTGACATCATCCCGGCCATGGCTCCAGCCTTTCCAGAATTATGGAACCGTACTCGTAAGTCTACCATTAATTCTTTTCTTCCATTAACGATCATTTTACATTGTTATTGACCCTTCTTCTTTTTCTTATTTCAGCGACTCGGTGGGTTCCACCTAGGTTTGAAGGCTTGGACCAATGGGTCCAGAAAATTTTGGACGTCACTACGCCCGAAACCCGTACGTAGAAAAAATTGTCCCTTAAATACAGGTGGAAGGCCAAAAATCATGGTAAGTAAAATTCATCTTGTTTTTACCTTTTCATATAAAGAGGTTGTTTGACCCTTCACTTCTGTTGAATTCAGGTCTATCCTAAGGCTCAGTCGTCATCCCCGAGGAGGATGTTTTGGCTAATCTTGTAGATGCGGCGAGGCTACTGCAGGAGGATTTTACACAGACAAGTGTCTCTGGGCCTTCTTCTGGTGCGAGTGCTTCTTCTCGAAGTCCCCGGCCGGAGAACAAACAACCAAAGAGAAGACGCTCCTCCACGGCCAGGTGAAAGAATAAGAGGGCGAAGAATACCACTCTTGAGTCGTGTCCGGAAGTTATGGTGACGAGCCCCCCGCTCGGGCCGGCCATAGACACCATGATGATTGACGATGATGGGGAAGCCAGCAAGGAGGGGGCTTCTCTACATAGAAGACGACGACCTTCCTCAGCTCAACAGACTGCTCAATCTGTTGAGTTATTTACACCAATCGAAGACGATGCCTCGGCGCTCTGGGGAGTTTGATATGGTGGAAATGCCAACTCTCGTTTCCAAATCCTAGTCACTGCGCACGGTACAATGAGGCTGAGTATGGGGTCCTTGTCATCTTCGGTTGACGAGCAACCAACAACCAGCACTATGTTTGTCACAACCATTTCTCGTCCTTCAACGCCATCAGTTTCACCTCCTTCTTCACCAACTCTTTCTTTACCACCAGCAACTACTACATCATCTCCATCGGTCGCATATGTCCGAGAAGAGGATGTTCCTCTCCCCCAGTCCACAGTTTATGGGAACTTTGGGCAAAATTACGTTGCCCCCTCAAAAGATCCGCAAAGGAGGAGGAGCATTACTCTTTCGGTCTCTACCGGATACAATATGCTGTCCCGGCCGGTGGAACTTGCTAACTATCTAAAGACTTTGGCTTCAGAAAAAAGATCGAGAAAAGATACAAGCTCTCTCGGGAGAGTATTTTTTGAACAATGCTATGCACAACGCCACAACGGTATATTCTTTATTTCCTTCATTATCTCTTCTATCTTTGATATAGTAGTATTTTGAGTCTGCCTTTTTTGTTTCGCATGCCAATTTTCTTGCTTCTGAGGGCCTCCAAAGGTTGATTCAAGATAAGGAGGAACTTACCTCCGAGCAAGATCAACTTTTGGCCAGTAGGACCAAACTACTGCTCGCCTCTCCGAACTGGAAGCTAAAGCTGTTGAGGCTGTTGCGAGCAAGAAGTAGAGATCATTAGCCAAGAGATTGCCCCGCTCAGGGTTCAATTTGAAGAGACTAAGGCCAAATGGGCTGATGTCCATAGTATTATTCTTGATGCATCTGATCGCGAGGCTGCCTCCGCTAAAAGATTAAATAATTTGGAGAAGTCCTTGAACTCCAAAACTGAAGGGCTTGCTACTATTGGGGTGAAATATGCCCAATTGGAGGAGAAATATAAGAAGACTATTGAGCATAATATACTTTTTAGCTCTACTGTCCGTGATCTCGATGTTAGCCTCCGGTCTATTAGATCCGTGCGGGAAAATCCTTCTGCCGAGATCGACCAAGTTAAAGAAGAACTCAAGCACCGAACGGCTTCCCTCGTTGTTGAAAAAACATATGTTATATACAGCATGAGGAAAAACCTTGGAAGAGGCTAAAGCGGGTGTTATTGACTTTGATGCCGAAATCACTAAAGCCCGTGAGTTGGAGTCAACTGCTAAAAGGAGTCTTCCAGCTAGGCCTGATACTACCGATTCTTCTGGTTCTGGTTTCGAATTCTCGGAAACTGAAGAGGAATCGGAAGGTGATGATGCTGAAGGTCAAAATGACGAAGGACAAGACATCGAGCCAACGGCGGATCTACCCACTTCTCTTGGGGTCGCGGATGTTTCTCTTCCTCCGGGTTCTGGAGATGCAGTAGCTTAGCTTTTGATTTCTTTTTCCAACTTTTTTACTTGTGTCGTTTGGCACATTCGTTGTAAATAAAAACACTTTTTGCTCAAGTATTGCATGATTTTTCCTTTCTACTTACTTGAGTTTAAACATTTATGCAAGTTTAATCTTTGCGTCCTTTTCCTTTTATGTGTTTTACGCAAGTTTTACTATTTGCGTCTGATTATGCAAGACTATGGGTGTATTTTTCCCCAAAAGCGTTTGGATTTCGGGCACAAGTTCTTCTAAAATCAACCCTTTATCGTGAGGGTTTTCATAAGAGATGGCCCTCTTATATTTATGGTGCTCTTGAAGAGGACGTCTCTTGTTCATTACAGCACTAGCATTTGAAGTACTTGTTTAACTTTCAAATGACAAAATCAATTCATCATTTAGACAAGAAACAGGATAGAAATAAATGGATTTTACTTTATTCATCCCATTTTTAAAAGTATATAAGCATTTGTTGTGCTAAAAGAAATTGACATTTCTTGTGGCTAACTTGTACAACTTGTTTCTACTGTACTGGTCGCGCAGTCCCCGGTACCAATAATATAACTATGTTTTCGGGTTTTGTATTTCAGTTGAAGTCCCAATCGTTACTGTCGTATCCTCGTATCATCCCCCCTCCAGGGTTCGAATGCGAGGAATGTGAATTTGAATATTGGAAGTTTAACACCTTCGAGGATTCCACTAATGAATTGCTAGATAATTTTCAGTTTGGTAACAAACTTCACTTCCCCTTAGGAATTTATGCTATCAAGCCAAAGAATATCTAACAATCCCCTATTGTCTTGCACTTGTGAGCAGTCGGGTAATCTTTGTTCGATAGCAAACTTGACTTTTCGGTGG